TGGTGTTTTACAATCATTTATGTAGGACTATTTTGGAGAATGTTCTGAGACCACTATCAAGGACAATGTGGTCATAGTCTATGAGCTCTTGGAGGAAATGTTGGATAACGGCTTCCCCCTCGCTACAGAATCCAACATCTTGAAAGAACTCATCAGACCTCCCACAATCCTGCGGTCGATGGTCAACACCATCACAGGTAAAACACCTAATTCCTGAGTATTTTCTTCATGGCTATGTGATGTTGAGAATCTAACTGATTCATAATCCTCAGGCAGTAGTAATGTTGGCGAAACACTCCCTACCGGTCAGCTCTCCACTATCCCATGGAGAAGAGCAGGTGTGAAATATACCAATAATGAGGCTTACTTTGATGTGGTGGAAGAAATCGATGCCATCTTGGATAAGTCTGGTAAGACTGTTGTTGGTACTTTGATTTCACAAGTAGTGATTTCATAATACTGAAGGTATGTATTTCCTTTTCAAGATTAGTATTGGTGTTCTCTTCTGTTTCAGGAACTACAGTCTTTGCAGAAATCCAGGGAGTTATTGATGCTTGTGTCAAGCTCTCTGGAATGCCAGACCTCACTCTCTCATTTATGGTGAGAGCACTTAATCATATTCATCTCTCTCTCTTTTTCTTTTTTTGGATACATTATATTTTTTGTGCCATCAACTGTATTTAAAATTGTGATGAAACCAAACTAGCGACAGGGTGGAGAATTTAATCTATCCATTGGTTGTTAAATATATTTTGAGATGTGGCCTTTGCACATTTTAAACAACATTTCTCCAATATTGTGCATGCTGCTTTTATGATCTCATATTAATCAAGGGCATATGTGTAGCTTTAAAAATTCATGTTTTCAGCAAAACATTTTTAACACAACTGTATGTTCTTCATCCACAGAACCCCAGGCTCCTGGACGACGTGAGTTTTCATCCGTGCGTCCGTTATAAGAGATGGGAAAGTGAAAGAGTTATCGCCTTCATTCCCCCCGATGGAAACTTTCAGCTCATGTCGTATCACATCAGTGCGCAGAAGTAAGCAGAGTGTTGATCTGAAGCAAATAGTTAAGCAATAAACCTAAAACATGTATTAAAGATATTTAGATGTTGCAGATTAAAAGTTTTTTTACCTGTTTTTGCAGCCTTGTAGCAATTCCGGTATATGTGAAGCAGAACATCAGTTTCTTTGAGACTGGATCTTCAGGAAGACTGGACATCACTGTGGGTCCTAAGCAGACCATGGGAAAGACTTTGGAGTGTTTGGTAGTGACCGTACACATGCCCAAAGTGGTTCTCAGTGCCAACCTCAGTGCAACTCAGGGAACCTACAACTATGACCCCGTCACGAAGGTCAAATGCAATTCCATTTCCATTGATTTATTGCAGTTGTGTTATTTTAGCAATGTCACAGCTGCTGATCATTTGAAACACTATTTTTGGCTAATTGTTCTCACTGTTGTCTTGTAGATTTTGGTGTGGGATATAGGGAAACTTAACCCCCAGAAGCTTCCCAACCTGAAAGGAAGCCTAAGTCTGCAGTCTGGAGCTCCTAAACCAGAGGAGAACCCAAGTCTGAACATTGACCTGAAAATCCAGCAGTTAGCCATCTCAGGTAGGCTAGGGTCCTTTATCAGCTTTGGTTGTTATTCATTGCCAGCAAGACCTTGTGATAAAGCACCGTTGTTATTAACACGCTTTTAAAAAAGCACAATAAGCTGCTGTAACCCTATTTAATTTACTATTTGTTCACTTTTTTTTTCTCTTTCTAAATTTTTCATTTCCTTCCACTTGTTTGTATGTAATCGCTGAAATACCATCAAAGGTTTAGGGTCATTTTTTTTAAAAGACTACTTTAATTTTTATACATTCAATTGATTAAAGGTGACAGTCTTTTATAATGATACGAAACCTTTCTATTTCAAATAAATGCTTTTGAACTTTCTATTAAGTGTTAAAGCTACACGAGTTTATCTAAAATCTGATGATCATATGATCCAATGAGCATTGAGAATACAATGAGAATGATATTGAAAGAAATCTGATCTTTTGTAGAGAGGGTGTTCACATGGTCAGTGTCACAAATTTGCTTATTTGAACAATGACTTAGAAATGGCATTCCTTAAGTTTTGGTGCAAAATCCTAAAAACAAAAAACCTATTTTCAGACTTATGTAAAGTGCCTGTTTTAAAATGTGTTATATAAATACAGTTATGCTTACTTCACTCTCTCTTCTGCTTCACAGGACTGAAAGTCAATCGTCTAGACGTGTACGGAGAGAAATATAAGCCATTCAAGGGTGTGAAATATGTGACCAAAGCTGGGAAGTTCCAGGTCAGGACATGAGGCCAGCTGCAGAGTATCACAAGGATATGCCAAAAGTTTATTAGAGGTGCCATTTTCTAAGTGACAAATCATACAGGATTGCAACCTTGTGCACAAATCTCCCTTATTTTTTAAAACATGGCAGTTAACATTTGTTATTGTAATATTTATCTTTCTTGTTTTGTGGGAAGTTACTGGCAATTTGCAAGAAATGAAAATTTTTCCACTAGAGAGTATTGGGAGAGCATGTGCTTTGGGAATCTTTCCCTTCATATGAACAACATTCCATTAATGTATTAAAACTGTATTATGTTAGATTTAAGGTACGGTAAATCTTTGCCAGAAAAACACATTACATTAATCACAATACTGCTCTACAGTCTTTGATATTGTCACAAAACAATACTTGAGAGTTTCTGCACATATTCACAGGCCTTATTTTTTCATTAAAATTTATTTGCCAGTTCAGTGGCCTTTGAATGAAAAAAATATATATATATTTTGAGGAGGCCTCACACACTCAAATGGCCTTTCTTTAAAAGAACAGTCATGCTTATAGCAGGACATATTTACAAGGATGCAATCTACTACACAAGCACATCACTGCTCAGAGGTGAATAAAAGCTGTATCTGCTTGAGAGACAATTTACATTTGAAGTAGTTTGCCACATACAAGCACTATGAAGCCATTATGAGCTCAAGTGATAAAATCAGTTCTGTTGCACTGACCTGCAGTGATACGGTTAGGGTTTCAAAGGGGTGGAAAATTTTCAGTAAATTTCCAGAAACTTTCCAAAAATCCCTGGAATATTCAAAAAAAAATGCTGGAAAGTTTCCAAAATTTTCTGGAAATTTTCCACCTTTTTGCAACCCTATACGGTGGATATGCAGGTCTGCCACCTTAATGAAGCTTTGAGGATTTGCATACAAGGACACACAATTGCATTATTTTGTAAAATGTCAAGGGAACTGCATAACTGCATTTTAAGATATGTATTTAAACCAAAGGCCTTCAGATTTATAAAGTTTGCGAACAAAATGAGGTCTTTTTTGTGTGTTTCCACTTCTGACTAATACCTGTTTATTATAGCTTCACTTGAATATTTTTTGACAAAATTAGAAAGTAGCTTGTCCCTTTATTGACATATTTGGCGAATGAAGTTTCCAAACAAAACACCTTAACATAATTTTTTTATTAATCTGAGGCACATAAGATGTTTTTTCTATGTGACACTGAAAAAGTCAACATTAGTGTCGTATATACATTCACAAACCAGTAATTTCACCCTTTCTAAATGTCATCAGAACCCACAACATGCTATTACACATACAAATACAGCCCTGTAAACTTTCACAACGAGGCACTATATTGGGGGCTGAAAAAGTACTCTTTCAAATGTATATGTTGTAGATAAGAGTTTTTAAGTGAATGCAAGGCAGTGAAGCATCATGATAGTGTACTTGTAGCTGTACAGAGAATTCAGAGTGCATCTTCAGCTAATAATTGTGATGCTTGTGCTACTGAGTTTTTCATAGTATGACTGCACAATTTGATTCTATATTGTAAATTTACTGTCCTTAAAACGGTAGATCACACAAAAACTAAAAATCTGCAGTTTACTGACCCTCATGCCCATCCAAACATGTATGACTGGAACACAAAAGAAGATATTTTGAAAAATATCCCCGTTTTTTTCCATACATTGAAAGTCAGTGGGGTCCCAAACAACATGATTTGGACCCCATGAACTTTCATTGCATAGACAAAAACATTTTCAGTTTCAAAACATTTTCAGTTTTAGAACAACATGAGGGTGTTGATAGACTTTTCATTTTTGGGTAAACTGCATCTCCAAACTCATAGGTATCACATATAAACAAGCCACCTGGGTCTTGTTACCCATTCTATTTAAATGGGTAAAAACATTAAGACAGTTCCATCATCAATATTCTACAATTGCAAACACAGTCACACAGAGAAACGTCAGAATTACAGCCGTAAACTGTAAAAAGACTGAGCTAAGAGAGAACAGTTCAACTGTTGTGAGGATTGTGCTTTTCTTTTAACAAATTTAAATAATCATTCACTCTCACAAACTTAAATGTGAATGAAGTATAAAGAATTTCAGTGTTAACTATCCAAGCTTTCGCATGTCTGTAGATTTACATGATAGATGTGTTTTTTGATAGCTAATGGATATTAAGTGTAAAAAAAAACGAAATCTTTGGCATCAACCATGCCATGCAAAATACATCTCTGTAATGGCACGACCCATCAAAAAAGGCATTATCATATTTAATAAATAGCTAAGCAAAAGTTCATTATAAATATGAGCGAAGAACAGTTAATTATAGTGAATTATAACTCAAAAACAACCAGCCATAAGGTTTTTTAATAGCAAAGTAAAACTTACAACTTTGTATGTGTTGTATATTTGTGACTAAAAAGTGATCTGTGATAATGTTCTGATGAAATATAAGAAATATATACATTTTCAATAAGAAAATTTAATTGTCAAAAACTCATTTAAAGTAAATTTCATCATGAACTCCAACATTGTTCGAGAGAGGCATCATGCCATTTTTCTCCAATACAAAATAGAAAACTTCTTCATGCAAAAAAAAATATATATATATATATATATATATACCTGGAATTTGGAAACCCAACATACCAAAAATATATATTTAAAAATTTGCTTCCTGTATACTCCTACACTATACCCCAGTAGTGTGAGATAAAGGTAACAACAGCAAACTTTCAGGACAAAAATAGCCTCCGTAAGGAGCAGCGGAGGTGTACCAAGTACCCATACCAGCAAGTAAATAAAAAGAAGTAATACCAATCACCCCGAAACTTGAGCCAAACACTGATGTTCAAAAGTTTAAGAATCAGACAGGGTGCTTTCTCTCCACCTGCCACCCCTTATCAGATCTCACAACGTTTGAAAAGGCAAGAATGCAAATTGCTAATGGAAATCAACTAGTCCTCAGTTTACTGGTACCAGGGGGTCTTTCGGACCCAGCGAAGAGTGAACCCTGCGTCTGTGCGGATCTTGATAGAGGCAGCTTCTGCTTCTCTGACCGTCTCCTTCACGGACTGCATGAGGTTCTGCGCGTTGTGCACAAGCATCTCGGTGGCCTAAGAACCAAACACAATCATTTGAATTCCAATCCAATCCATTAAATCCTTCATTAAAGATGTGCCTTGTGTCCTCACCTGCTCAGATTCTTCCTCACTGATGTTTGTACGTCCCAGCATAGTGGCCTTTACCGTGGACAGGATCTTCAGCTGAGTGCTAATAGTTGGGATACGCTCACAAACCTGGAATAAACATTCCAGAGTTCACAGAGGAGAAATGTACTTGATCAGCAAGACGATTTGCAAATCAGTTCTCTACTACTACTGATATTTGTGCCACTGACCTGCAAGAGGTTTGTGCGAATCCGTTTGTCGGTGCATTGCTTGGCTACCTCTTTAGCCAGCCGTGTGACCTCATCGGAGGCCTTGGCGATGTCCTTAGCGCACTGAATGAGGGCACGTTTATTCCCACTGCCTCCACGCACTAGACGAGACATTTCTGCCATGAGCAGGGCCATGCGCTTAGCCGCTCCAATGATGTCATTACCCTAAGAGGAAAAAAGCCCATGTGGACATAGCATGAGGGTTTGATAACAGACATACTTTGGCAAACACAGGTGAAATCTAAAATAGCTACAAACTGTTCCTATAGAGTCGGTTGCTGTTCATGTAGATCATTTTTGCCTGTTATTAATCTGTGATTGATGATAAGCTCTATGTATCTAACTTCTATCTCTAAAATTTTAAAATGTCACAAAGACAAACAGTGTTTAGAATCATGTCATTTTCATCCAGTGCACATCAGTCATGCCTTATTGAAATTAGTATAGGTTTATCATGTGTCTTCTGAAGTCACATGAAGCAGCTGAAGTCACATTTGTAGGACAAAATATGAGAAACAAATACATGTGAACAACACATTTTTCTGTGCACACGGAAAAGCATCTTTATGCTTGCTACTGTTTTGTAAATATACTTTTCCGGTGTGGGTGCAAAAGTTTCCCATCATGAACGTTTTTTTGTTTGCACATTTAAGTTTCTCGCACATGTGGGAAAGTATGGAAGCTAATTTCCGCCATGAAAAAAAATCTGAATTCTGAGTTTACTTCTGGCAATTCCGCCTTTTTTTCTGTGGTTTCCACCACATAATTAAAAAAAAAAAAAGGTAATTGCAACTTTTTATCTTACAATTCTGAATTTCTTCCTTGCAATTCTGAGTTTATATCTCATAATTGCAAGAAAATTTTTTGTAAGATTATACGATAAAAAATGACACCTTTTTCATTTTGTTTTTTCTATCTGTGACTGAAATAAGTTTCCATAGTTCTCCTGTGTGCACAAGAAACTCTGAGGGCATTTTTTTCTGCAAACATAACTTTAGGGGCTCCGTAGAATCTAATATATTTTCCTCCGGCTTGTTAACAATATGGTGCCCATCTAACAAATTTAGCATAATTATAAAAAAAATATATTTTTAAACTTGAGCAGAATTCTGTATGATCCTTTAGTGAGACAGTTATGTTTATACACAGGCATGCAAAGTTTGTGTTAAAATGTAACATCCTACAATGGCTTTGACATGGTTCATTTAAATGGTTAGAAAAAGTGTGCAACAAACAAACAGGCATGTGACATGACTTCAGCACGTGTAATTTCCGAAGTCATTGGGAAACTGTCATCCATGGCTTCACAGGTTGGCAAAAAGCAGAGTGTTTGGCAGCAGCGGTTGAGTGAATGGCTCCTCGTTCAAATCGGGGCACAGAGGCGTGACAACTATCAGAAATGAGCAGGGAAGTGACTTGTGAAGCCAGTATCAGTTTGTCCAAGAAATGCACAACAAACTTGCCATTCCAGTCGCGGTCATTGGCAACCCCAGCAGCAAAAAAACACACCGGACCCAAGTGTGAAGCAACAACAGCAGCAGCAGCAGCAGCTATCTGGTTTCAGCATTCCCACAGTAATATCTGGATGCAGAAGGGATGCTGTGGCCCGCCGGGACCGGAAAACGCAGTACCTTACTGGACCACTTGCGAGCCTCCTGGTGCAAAGACTGCGCAGCGGCCAAAATGGGCTGGTTAACTGTCTGATTGGAAGACATTAAGAGCAGCTCTGGCTCAAAATCATCCTCGTTGTCTGTGAATTCATCCTCATCGTCTATATCTACTTCCGCCTCAGCGGCCTCAAAACCCTCGTCTGTCACTTCAGGCTGGGGAAGCTGGGGAGGAGGGGGAGGAAGGAGCCAGCATGGAGAAAGAAGGACAGAGTTAGTACGAGAGGCACTGCATGGAGATTCCCAGGACGACATGATTGTGGGAACAGCTGGGTTTAGGATAGCTGGGAGGGGCAGCATTCTGGGTCCTGCTGGGTAACTTCTGCCACAGGGTTTATAATGTCAACTGAAAATCATGTAACTGATCTATTCTCACTTAAAGTTGAGGATAGAAACTGGGTGGTTAATTTGGACAGAGAACAAATAAGCAAAGCCCCCAACAAGATGAAATACATGATGGGTTCTCCATAAAAAGTAGCTTTGACAGATTGTGTTCCAATGAGTTTATATTTCAAATTGAATGATACTTAACCTAAAAATACTCCTAATAAATTATTTTAAATTTTTTACTTTTCCAATCATTCATTATTACTGAATAAAGATTTTTTTTAAATTTATTTTAGGGATGCACTATTTTGGATTTTTGCCGATATCCGATATGCCGATATTTTTCAACTCATTTTGGCCGATACCGTTACCGATATATTTCCTTTTGTTTGGAATCAACACCAAGTCTCTCTTGTGCAGAAATTATAAGCAAAATATTTTTAATTTTGGTTAGTTTTTAACAAGAACTTATTTGTTAGAATTAAATAAACAATAATGAAGGTTTTTTGACAGTACATTTAAGCTTTGAAAATAACTATAAATAAACTATATATCAATCGCTGCATTTTTTTCCCAGAAAGATGGTGTTAACCCTAACATTTTATTTTAATATTTAACATTTGTAGATGGTCTAAAGCAAAAGTTGTAAAAATTCTGAAAATCTTTTAGAGCTTATGATTTGTTTAAATAAAACATATTACACATTAATGAATAAATCAGTATAATAGCTGGGAGGGGCAGCATTCTGGGTCCTGCTGGGTAACTTCTGCCACAGGGTTTATAATGTCAACTGAAAATCATGTAACTGATCTATTCTCACTTAAAGTTGAGGATAGAAACTGGGTGGTTAATTTGGACAGAGAACAAATAAGCAAAGCCCCCAACAAGATGAAATACATGATGGGTTCTCCATAAAAAGTAGCTTTGACAGATTGTGTTCCAATGAGTTTATATTTCAAATTGAATGATACTTAACCTAAAAATACTCCTAATAAATTATTTTAAATTTTTTACTTTTCCAATCATTCATTATTACTGAATAAAGATTTTTTTTAAATTTATTTTAGGGATGCACTATTTTGGATTTTTGCCGATATCCGATATGCCGATATTTTTCAACTCATTTTGGCCGATACCGTTACCGATATATTTCCTTTTGTTTGGAATCAACACCAAGTCTCTCTTGTGCAGAAATTATAAGCAAAATATTTTTAATTTTGGTTAGTTTTTAACAAGAACTTATTTGTTAGAATTAAATAAACAATAATGAAGGTTTTTTGACAGTACATTGAAGCTTTGAAAATAACTATAAATAAACTATATATCAATCGCTGCATTTTTTTCCCAGAAAGATGGTGTTAACCCTAACATTTTATTTTAATATTTAACATTTGTAGATGGTCTAAAGCAAAAGTTGTAAAAATTCTGAAAATCTTTTAGAGCTTATGATTTGTTTAAAAAATAAAACATATTATACATTAATGAATAAATCAGTATACATAAAATTATTTAATTTACAAGTGTCATGTTTGTGATTTTTTTTCATGTAAGCTATAGCTTCTAACCTTAAAATCAAAACATACTTATTAATTTATGACATCAATTACTGCTTTATTTAATCAGAAAAACAGTCTAAATGTTATTTGTGTAGGCTATTTTACTTTTAATTAAATTAGAAGTAGGCCAACAGCGCCCCCTACAGATTAAAACTCCTTACTGAACGGACATTAGGACCCGGGGGAGGCTGTCACTGCTGCCGCTGCACGTGCTTGCTTACTGTTTACTCTATCACACACCGAACGCCATTCTGTACGTGCTTTCACAGATTAAATGCAGCGAACCAAGAGTGAATCTAATCATCATTCAGACAAAACTTTGCTTCAAGAATGACCCACACTGCTGATGTGATCTAATCGCTTCACATGTGAGTTAACGTATTCCTCTTATCTGCAAGACATATCGCATAATTTTTCATATCGGCCGATGTCGATATTTACATTTAAAGCCATTATCGGCCAATTTGATATCAGTCCGATAATATCGTGCATCCCTAATTTATTTAATAGAGACTGTTCTCACAAAAAAGCTATTTATAGCTGCCAAAATAGTTAGTCATATAGACCATAATTTCCATAAACACATTTAAAAGTCTGGGGTTTAGTGTTTTTTTTTGTTTGTTTTTTATGCATTTTATTTATTTATTTTTTTTAATGGATCAAAATGACAGTAAAGACATTTATAATATTACAAAAGATTCCTATTTCAAATAAATGTTTTTTAAAAACTTTCTATTCATAAAAGAATCCTAAAATATTAAGCAGCACACCTGCTTAGCAGCATTGATAATAATAAGAAAATGTTTCCTGAGCCGCAAATCAGCATATTAGAATGATTTCTGAAGGATCATGTGACACTAAAGACTAGAGTAAGGACTGCTGAAAATTCAGCTTTGCCATCACTCGAATAAATTACATTTTTAAAATATATAAAAATAAAAAAACAGTTATTTAAAACTGTAATAATATTTCACAATATAACTGTTTTACTGTATTTTTAAACAAATAAATTCAGCCTTCGTGAGCATAAGAGACTCAAAAAACTAAAAATCTTTCAGACCCTAAACTTTTGAATGGTAGTGTATTTGTCTATCTATCTGCGATATCTCAGTATTTCAATAATACAGCTATTCCTAATTTTTTACACTGTATTCAATTTAGTAAAGTGAATATTATAATAACTAAACAGGCAATAAATGGGGCTATGTGTAGATACAAACAGGGAAAGACCATGTTAACACGCAAGAGAACAAGTAGTTTTCACAAGGACCAAGACAAAGCCATGAAGGGACTGTTCAACTATTATAGAAATAGAAGAAATAACACAGAAATATCCACAAAAGGACAACAACACAACCAGTAAGTCAAACACACCCAGTGGGCTCTCACTATGGTCACCTGATTTGAAGTACTACACGAGCCTTTGTAATGAGCGTGTATCAGCTCTGCACTAGTTCTAGTTGATATCACATCCACTGAAGAAGACATTTTCCATTAGTTAAAGTTAACTCAGGTAGTCCTGTCTGTCTCATTTCATAGCAGAAGTTCTTTTGGGGTAAAGCTGTGAAGAAAAGTCATGTATTGCTCCATCATTATGGTTAAAAAAATGAGTCTACTTGTTAAAACGTTAGAGCATGCAAACATTTCTTTCATAGATGACAGTTTCCGTTCTTTTCCCCCCTGAAACTGGAATCATCACAGAGATTTCCACATTTCAGGTTTAAGACAACAAAAACACTCAGGCCTGGTTTCACAGACAGGACTTAGACTCAGGCCATAGATCAATTAGGACATTTAAGTAATATTTTATAAACGTGCCTTAGGTGTACATCTTGAGACAAAACTTGAGACACTGATATATTTTAAGATCAATCAGTGCAAATTTCTTTCAGTTGAAACAGCTCAGACTTACATTTTAGTCTGGGACTAGGCTTAAGCCTTGTCTGTGAAACTGGGGGTCAGAGTTCAACAAAGGCAACATTTCACAATCATAAAAAGCAGACCAGTACACAAAGCGCATCTCAAACATTTGAACACATAATTTAGTTTTTTCATTAACGTTGTCATTTTCATCTTGACAGTCTTTGTGAGATTCAGTTTAATTTTTAATTCTAATTATTTAAAATTATTTATTGTGTTTTATTTACAGTACATTACTGTTAAAAAGTTTGGGGTCGGTAAGTGTTTGTTTTTTGTTTTTTAAAGAAGTCTTATGCTCACCAAGGCTGCATTTTTGTTTGAAAATACAGTAAAAATGAAATATAAGTCAAAATAACTTTTTTCCTGTTTTTAGATATTATAAAAAGTCATTTATTCCAGTGATGGCAAAGCTGAATTTTTATCAGCCATCACTCCAGTCTTTAGTGTCATATTAGCCTTCAGAAATCAATCTAATATGCTGATTTGCTGCTCAAGAAACATGCTTTTTATTACTGTTTTGCTGCTTAATATTTTGTTGGAAACCCTGATACATTTGTTAGGATTCTTAGGGGCAGTTTTACTAAACAGGGCAAATTAGCATGAGAGTGCAATTCCAAAACAGCGCCGATGGGTGTGGAAATTTCTGTGGGTGATTTACTAACAACGTGCAAAATAAAGAACACAGATGCAACATCTCATTTACATATCGGCCAACGCAATATACCAAGTGCAGCGCAAATCAGCGTAGTTTAAAATAAAGAATTAAGAAATAAAGAGGCCAACAGTACATTGAAAAGAACTGGAGGCCAAAAAATTTAAGGTTTCATGAAGTTTTGATAGACCTGGTATTGCGTGACTCCTAGTTGAGGGTTCCAAGTCGTCTTTTATTTCATGAAGCTAATTAAAAATAACATGGCTTGGCAAACTATATGTTGGGATAATGTGATCTTCTGGCATTCCAAATAAATTAATACGCAAGGAAAAAAACTCTCCCTTCTACCACGTGCTCTCGGTTCTCTGCGGTGCCTTCTCCTAGCAACAATAATTGCAGCCAAGCGCAAAATAGTTTAAGATATGCTTTTTTGGGGCGTTAAATAATGGCGCAAATACCAGTAATTCGATGAGCGCAAACGTTAGTAAATCTCATTGTGTGATTCATTTGATTACTCTCCTCCCATAAATTTTGCGTCTGAAAGGGAAACTCCTACAAATGCATATTCAATAAGGTCAGGTGCACGCCTTTTCAGCGCTAATTCGTCACTGCACGTCTTTAGTAAAACCTGACAGTACTATTGTAACGCCAAAAGATGGTTTGCGCTGGTGCAAGCTGTTAGTAAAACTGGCCCTTGGATGAATAGAAAGTTCAAAAGAACAGTTTATTTGAAATAAAAATGTTTGGTAACATTATAAAAGTCTGTCATTGTTGACCAATTGAATGCATCCATGTTAAATAAAAGTATTAATTTCTGGAATAAAAAATAAAAATCTTACTGACCCCAAACTTTTGAGCCATAATGTATTTGTCAAGAACTACAAGGAATGATTTTGTGTTTAAAACATAATAGTTCCACTCACCTTACTGGACCATTTACGGGCCTCGTCGTGTAGCTGCCTGGCAGCCACCATCATCGGCTCGCTCACCATCTCGCCGGCTTTCTGCTCCGGGAACTCCTCATCTTTCTCCTCTGGGGGTGGAGGTCTCGGGGGAGGAACCTCTCCCTCTGGGAGGGGCGGTTTGGGAGGAGCCTGATCATCACTGACCTGATAGAATCACATGGGTGAGTAAATGTTGACAGAATTGTCCCTTTAAGGCCTAAATTGATGCTTTAATTTCACTTACATGCAGCTGATCAAGGTCTGGAGGTGGAGGTGGAAAGTCAGGCTCCTGAGGCTGGAAGGCTTCCCTGACTTTCCCAACAGCAGCCAAGATCCTGTAGCCAGAGTCCAAGAAGCTCTTTTGTGAACCTGATCATTAGGAGAAAAAGATTTTCTGTCAGTAATAGGAGAAATTGTTTTATTTAAATGTATCCAGAACATTTACAAAAAAAAAAAAAAAAAAGACCTGGATCCTGGATGTTTCCTGCCACGGCTTTAGCAGCCATAACCATGGGTGAGATTGTTCTACCAAGTTCATCTGAAGCAGCTTTGACCAGTTCTCTGAATTTCGGGTCCTCTGAGTTCTCCACTTCCCGTTTGGCCACCAGAAGGACCCGGTTAGCCCGCCGGGCGATGCTGGTGGCCCCTGCAACCAACATCTGGGGCTGAACGTTAGCCATTGCCACCCGGCATTTATCAATGTCTTTCTTAATGGCCTCCTCTGATGCATCCAAGAGGGATTTTGTGTCAATGGCTTCATCCACAAGACCTGAAATAAAGATTGTGAATATTTGAAAGAATTTCAAAAGATTTGATGTGGTATTTTATGTGATATGAGCTTTTGCTTACTGGTCATTTTTTCAATGTTGTCAATCCATTGGTTCTTCATGGTCTCAAAGTGTTCATATGCAGCCTGGTTGCCAGGGTTCTTCAGCAAAATGCGTGCAGCAGAAGTGACCTGCTCATGAGTACAGCAAAAGATAGATAAACGTGTCAAACAAGCAAATAAGATCACAACCAGCTTAATAGTACTCATTCTGAGAGCTTTTATTGGTAGAATTATTAATAAACAGTAAGAAAAAAAAATGCTGTGCACCGATATATCTTTGTTTTTACATTTTTTTTGTAAAACTTATAGTAATGTGTAAAGTCCCACTTTTTAACAAAGAAATAAAGATTTTTTTAAAAAGGTTTATATTTCTTGAATTACAATAATACTCTTGTTGTTCAAAAGTTTGGGGTAGGTAAAATGTTTTTAAAAATTTTAAAGGGTCTCTTATGCTCACCATTTATTTGATCAAAATATCAAAATAAGTAAAACTGTAATGCTGTGAAATATTAAAATGTAAAAAAAAAAAATATATAGCATTTTAATATTTTTTACATTGTAATTTATTCCCGTGATGAAAAAAGCTAATTTGTTTTGACTAGTACTGTGACAACATAAAAGCTAGTTATTTTAGAAACATCCTCATAATTTAACACTCAATACTTTTCTCACACAGTCTTATTTTAAGAATGAGTTCTCACTCAAGATCATCATCATATTTGGTAGTATCTGGCATCAAAAAGCTTGAATGCCTCTGGAGACTTGATACTGTGGCTAATGTCCAGCTATCAGGCCAAGCACTCCATTATGTGCCCTTAAAGTAGCTCTGGCATAAGCACACACATATACACACATATATGAGCTGCATACCTGAGGTGTTAGATCTCTGGCTGATTTCACAGCCGCCTGGATGCCCTCAACTGTGCTCTTATTGGCTGTCCCCACAGCAGCGGCCTTCTCGGCTGTAGCACCCAGTCTACTGGCATGATTCTCAAAGTTAGACGCCCTTTCTTCAAAGACCTAGAGGGGAACAATTCTAAATTGATTATAATTATTATTTTATAATTAATAATTCCATTTTATCTATATACTATTATAGTTTTTGTAAATATTTTCAATGAAAATGTCATTTTTACACTTTGCTTTCACTTTAATTTAAGTGTTAGTAATTTTGCTGTGTTTTTGTCATTTTAATTAGTATTTTATATGTCTATTTTTTTTTTTGTAGCTTACTTAGTTTTAGTTATTTTAGTACTTCAAGTTAAACTACACAAAAATGAGAAATGTTGCCTTGGCAATTACATTTTATTATTTTTATAAATTTTATAAATTTTACATTTTATTTAGTTAACGCAAATATTTTTCCCAAGTAACAATTTTTTTTTTTTTATGGTTTTAATATTAGATAACTATAATAACAACACATAATAACTATGATAATGACTATGAGTATGTTTGTATGCATTTCTGACCAGGTATAAAATAATGATTTTGGGGATTCCTTCAAATAAATAATAACCCTAAGAATAAAAGTGTTTATTTATTTCTATAAATGGCTTAAGTCTATTTACAATTAGGTTTAGGGCTTGGAATGCTTTGTGTGAATTAGCATATTTGACATGATACTGAAATGCAAGCTGCACTCTGTTTAAATCAGGTTGTATACTCAACAGACCTCCTCTCTGTTTGGGGCCTCAAGAGGCGCCGTTGCTGCCACAGCCAGGAGTTTAATTGGTGTGGTTGTATCACTGAAAACATCAGACACCTCCTGGGTCATAGCTTCCTGCATCTTCGCCTTCAGATCCTTGAAAGAAAAATATGATATGATGATTTATTTATGTGTACAGTTATTTATTTATGTATAAAAAAAACTGTCATTTGCTTGAAGCAGAATAGGAAAAAATATTGTGTAGTGCAAATATTTTCCAGCAGTGGGAGGCATTTGCTTATATATTACACTGAGCTAAAAGCCCTGCTGCTTTGTGTACTGCACTACTCTAGAGCCAGCAGATTTGACCTCTGCACTTCCCATTTGAGAAGATCTAAACATCTGATTATGCTTCACCCACACCTGCTGTGTGAGAAAGATAGCGGGATCTTTTAATAGAAAAGGGGGACACGATGCCTTACTTTAATTGCCTCCAGAAGAAGAGCAGCCACAGCGCGCGCCTGAGGACTCTCTCCCTCTCCCCGCACCGCAAGATCTGCCAACTGCATCATCAGCTGCTCCACTCGCTCACACTTTGCTAGCAGATCCTGTCTGTACGGCCCTGGTAGAGAGTTCGCCAGCCGGCGGCCTTCCGCTATCAGCCCCCGTATGGCAGCCTGGCCTACAGTAGAGACATGACAAGCTCCCATTAAAATTTAATGATGAAATGTGTCATTTCTAGCTGAAACAATCAAACAGGTTTCCCAAACACTCCAGACTCCATTATATTACTGTTTGGACAAACAGACAGTCTCTTCAGGGAAATTAACCAACAAATTGCTTAGGGATGGTTCACCCAAAAATCATTAATCATTAAATGTCATTAATTACTCCCCCTCATGTCGTTCCAAACCCATAAGACCTTAGTTCATCTTCAGAACACAAATGAAAGTGCCCCTATTATGGGTTATGAAAGGTTCATATTTTGGTTTTGGGAGTCCCCAACAACAGGTTGACATGCATGCAAGGTCAAAAAACACTTTCATTGTCTTATAATATGCATTTATTTTTACCTTGCTTGCTCAACGACTCCCAAACGATTCGCACAACGATTCATTTTTCCAAACCCCTCCTTTGCGTGATGCTAATCGGCGGTGATTGGTCCGATTGGATAAAGCAGCGTTTGTGAGCGCAGTGCTGCCTTGTGTACAGCCGTTACCGGGAAAACAGCTATTTTTACCGCTCCAAAAGCGGCACCTAGTGGCAAAGAATGAATTTGCATTTTCATTCAGACCAAGTTTTCAAGTGTTCCCGGGTCTGAGCGCAAAACAAGTGGGCGGGCAATATGCTAATGTTCCATGTAGATGTCAACATGAAACGGCTTGGGATTCGTTTTAAAAACAACTCATTTCAATGATTCAGAGTCGACTCTTTCTTTTGAGAGACAATAACTTTATACACGGTGCACTTTCAGATTTAAAACTTTGCAGGATGTTTTCATTCACTTAGAGCTGTGTTACACACTGCATGAAAGGTCATTTTCAAAAATCCATAATAGGGGCACTTTAAGATATTTTTGAGAGCTTACTGACCCTGAAGACAGCAACGCAACTACCACTTTCAAGGCCCAGAAAGGTAGAAACGACATGGTTAAAATAGTCCATGTGACATCAGTGGTTCAACTGTAATATTATGAAGCTACGAGAATACTTTTTGTGCCCAAAGAAAACAAAAATAACGACTTTATTCAACAATTTCTTCTTTTCTGTGTCAGTCCTCGACCTAGAGGAATGAAGGTTTTACAGGTTTGGAATAACATGAAGGTGAGCAATTCATGACAGAATTTTCAGTTTTGGGTGAACTGATAAGAAGAAACCACAATCATAATAGAAACATTTTGTTTCAAGCCACCTTTTCTGAGAAACAAAACATTGGTAGTGTTTTATTCATATTTTATTCATAATCCATATATGAGTGCCAAACCAGATGTGATGTATTTTAAGTAAAACTATAAATATGCAGTGAGAATTATTATTTGGCACTAAAATGTTAATTTTTAAACCAATATATCTATAAAATGGGTGGTTATAATAATTGTGAGAAATAATTTTGTAATTATTACATAATTATGTTAATTATCCCTAGACAACCTACTATGCTTTTCTTTCAAACACACTGGCAGTCATTTGTTTTGTGTGGATATATTCATACATTCATTATTCATTAATTTTACCAAGTGGAGGGCAACAGCTGCTTTATGATTTAAAATTGTCATTAATGTGACAATCATACACAATTATTTTTTTGACTGATTGGCTAATAATTCAGCACTATTAAATTAGCACTACATTAGTATCTCTACTTGATGGTTTAAAAAATATGTTTTTGCTCCATAACAAACTCATTTACTTCACTTGAAAGTACTAACATACCACTTAAATAGTATGCAATATTAGAATCCAAGTATGCCCTTATTAGATGAAGAGTGCATCCAAAATGATAGTATATTAAAATAACAAGCCATAGGTGCCCAGATAGTATACCGTTTCAGGTGGATTTTAAATTGAGAACCTGTGCCATAGCAGTTTTTTAAACTTATTAAGGATAATTAACAATGAATTCATAAGTAATTAAGTTAGCAAGATGACAAGGTCTGTGGTATCAAAATGAAATTTTATGACGTGATAGTATGTCCCAATACTGGCCTTGCTATACACTCGAAATATGGATTTTCCCTGTCACGAGCGAAGTACAAACTAGTGTAAATATGTGAATTGGGATAAGCCCTGGTACTAAACTGTGCAGCTCTGGTCTAGAGTTACTCCAAGACCGAGTTAACCTGAAAGTAACATGACCTGCTGTGAATAGGACACGAAGCAGCTATTTATGGTTAGAAATATTTTAAGTATGAACATAAATACAACAGGGACAGAGGAAATAGCCATCTGTCACATCATATAAAGGTCCAGAGTCAAGTGCCTAGTTCCATACGAATGAATAAGTCATTCAATATGCCAGTGTTATCCTTTGGGGGAAAAGTAATGGCCTCAGATGACCAGATGAGGATTTTACTAATAACAGATACAGATATAATAACAGTTATTGATTCAATTCTAAATGCTTTTTTGTCATATTTAAGGAGTAATGTTTCACCTCATCCCGCCACCCACCTACTCCATGATCGTCCACTCCAGGGTTGTTGATCCAGTGCAAGGCCTGCTCCATTTTGCCCTCTAGTGTAACAGCGGCCTTGGCAGGTCTCATGTTGGCCACGGCACGGTTAGTCTTTGCCTGCAAGTTCTGCAAAGCTGTGCCAATCTGTTTGGCCAGCACTCTAGCCTCAGGAGTATCCCCTTTACCCCTGTGGCACAAAAAAGTTCAAAAGAACATCTTTTTTTTTTTTAAACAGAAATCTTTTGTAACATCATAATTGTCTTTACTGACACTTTTGAACAACTGAATGCATTGTTTCTGAGTAAAAGTATTATTTCTTGAAAAAAAAATCTTACTAACTTATTTATAAAAAAATGTTTCATAATATTATGAAAGCACTAGGAGTCACATCAGGCACATTATCTTGGTTACATAATCTGTCCTAACAGTGAGCATGATACTGGTTTATCAAGTTCACATTTTTCATCATGTGCTGATCAAAGTCACAACATTATCTAATCATGATAGACTGGCATGAATGATATCTGTTCTTTGAAAGTGGAAAGAACACTTTGAATGTTGACTCTAACTATATGTACTGTATATCTAATTACATTTTCCGAAGTTCAACCAGTCTCGCAGTGAGTCCTGCGACCTCGCTGATGGAGCGCAGAATGTCGTCTCTCTCTTTAGGATCTTCACACAGGTCAGCGATGCGCTTGGCCTCCGCCAGAAGAGCACGGATGTTCTCCTCCCCCTCCGGACCACCATTCGGATCAGCCAGCCAGCTCTGTACAGAAACAACCATTCACACAACAAGTTCAGTTACAAGTTGTACTACTGTCACATTCCTTTCACACCTAAATGTGTATTGTGTTCATTTATTTCAGATTTGATTTATTTTAAATGTAAAATAGTGTTTTTATTGTATTTTATTTTATCAGTAAATTGTGTTTTTGATTTATTTTGCATCACTAGAACTATACCTAATAGTTAGTTAGCAGTACCTTCAAAAGTAATCTCACAGAACACTCTCAGACTCTTCTGTTCCTTTATTATCAGAATGAACATACTACTGTACACTGACACTTGTCAACATTTCCTGTTTTGAATTTGAAGGAATATTTATAGTCATATTGTCATTCAGCATAAGGAATCAGTCTGTTATATAATCACATGCTTTGCTGTTGTCTGTCACTGCACAGACAGCACAAAGTAAAAGTATTCTTTCTGTTTTTCAGTTATCAACCCTTTAAATACTTAGGAGTCACAGCACATCTCCACTAAATAACATCAGTCCAGACAGATTTATGTAACAGCTATTTAAATGAGGACATGTCTGTAATTATGAGTACCCATTTTAAGTACCCACACATCCTCTGGGATGCATATACAATCTCATCAAATCTGTACATATAGCAAAATGAACAATATAATAAAATCTTAACAATAGACTAAAATAAAAATAGAACTTTTTCTATTTTCTAAAACACTTCACATATCTTTTGCTGTTTACATCAATGGCCATTCACTGACTCAAACCTTTGGAGAATGAATTTGGTGGAAATTCATCTGTGACTTGATTCAAACTGAAGTTTTCCAATTCAGCTTATGTTATGTTTAATCATTTTAAATATTTTAGGTCCTGCATCTGTATTAATCATAACAAACATAATATCCATAATGATAATATTACTTAATGATAATATTAATAATAATACATTCCATTGTTGCTAAAAAGACCGTTATTTACGTTGGTAATATTGGCTATAAATTTGTTTTGGTGTAAATATTGGTACTTGTTGCCTTTTCAATTCTTGTTGCCTTTTCTCCTTTTCAAAAGAGTCTTGAAGCAAAACCAATTGACTGTTCGCAGAGAGCTTGATTGACAGGCGATCTGACCAATCATAACCCCGAATCCGGCATCTTGCCCAAAAAAACAAATCAGACAGGAGAGTAGATGTTTAACTTTGGTGGACTCAAACTTGAAAAATGGTGTGTATTGATGTCTTTCTGCTGTTGAAATAAAATACGTTATGATGTTCATTCATGTTTATTTTGTGCTTTAAGTAAATATGAAAAGACGATCAGTTCACGTGTGCCGCTTGAACTGAGGCAATACAGCGATCTGTCACGACGACACATTAAAGAGCCACAAAACGGTATTTATTGTTTGAATTTCTTAAAAAAAAGACAAAATTTTAAAGCTGAGACCTTGTTTCATACCAGAAGTAAGCTGCTCTGTCTTGTCTGTCGATGTGTTGTCAGTTTACTCTTTGCTCCACAATGTATTTTTTACTGCATGAGAACATGATGTGTAGTGTGAGAGCGGCATGGCTTGTCGAACATAGCAACAGTAACTTGGGAGGGCGGGTTTTTGCGAAGGGTCAATTGAGCACCACTTTAGACACACTAAACGAACCAATTCACTAACAAAACAGGCTTCGAGACTTACCTGGGCCGTGTCGATTCTTTTGGCAATGGCCTGTTTGGCATTGGTCAGGGCCTCCAGTTTCCGAGCAGCGTTCTCCACTTTGCCCACCAGAATATCCAAACCTTGGCCCACCTGCTGAGCTTTCTGCATACCCATAGGAGTGGCACCCTGACCTCTGAAGAAACAACATATATTAAGATTAAACAACAATAATAGAATAGAATAAAATAGAATAGAATAGAATAATTATTCATTTTCATGATCACACAATCAACAGGAGAATAGAATGACTTACCATACCATATACCATAATATCATAATCTCTCTGACTACCCGTTAACATTGATTAAACACGGAAATTGAACATGAAAAGCATCTGAACTGCATGTGAAGGTCAGTGTAAAGAGCCCCCGTGTGTGAGAGTAATCAGTGGGCCGGGGCAGCTGCTGATTATCCGGCCCTTCAGCCTTTAATCTGCTTTCCTTGAGTCTCTCTAATGAAGTCAGAGCCCAGCGTCTGATCTTTCACTTTCACTCCAGCTTTCAACATCCTTGACACATGGACCCAAACTGTACCACACCGTTCCTTCCTTCTCCTGTACTCAGCAGTCAGGGATAAACAATCCCCGGAGAATTAGCCCGCTAACAAACAACGTCTAAACTGTGTTTATGGAAAAACCTGACACACTTTCTCGTGTTGTAAATTAGAAGCAGTTACAGCCCCTGAGACACATCACACAGGCATAATACGTTGTATAAAGGATGATGAATATCGTTATGAACAGCAAACAGCTGCATTAATGCATAATTCAGCTCACGCGAGCGCTACAGGAACATGTGGTGGCATTTGGCTCTCAGTGTGAAATGCTGAACGGAGGAATCTCATAGTCGGTTGAATCAGCAGTATAATGGGCTTTGATTATAATTCTGTCTTTTCTCCAGGTGCATCTGAAGGGGGCGTACCTGGCGCGCACATCTGACACCTGATCCGTCATCTGGCCCAAGGTCTTGGCTGTTCCCAGGATCTCTCGTCTCTCTTTCCCCGCACAAAGCTCACCCACTTTTCCTGCTTCATCCAGTATGTGACGCAGCGCATGCTCTCCCGGATCTCCTGCAGGTGTCACAGACATAGTGTTAGGCCACTACATACTTTTAACCCAATTCAATTAAAATCATGTACATTACACAAATATTATGTACATAATAAAACAAAAGCTGTCACTGGGGCATACCCTTTCAAAAGGTACACCTTCGTACTTATTTAGCCCCAAAGGGTACATATTAGTACTTAAAGTGTATATGTTTGTGTACACTTAGGTTTGGGGTCTGTAATATTATGTTTTTTTAAATAAGAAATTTATTTTTTTATTCAGCAAGAGAGCAATAAATTGTTCATTAAAAAAATGACAGTAAAGACATTTATAATGTTACAAAAGATTTATTTCAAATAAATTCTGCTCTTTTAACTTTCTATTCATCAAAGAATCAAAGATAGGTTTTTCACCAAAACATTAATCAACACAACTGTTTTCAACATTGATAATAAGAAATGTTTTTAAGCAAATCAGCATATTACAATGATTCCTGAAAGATCATGTGACAAAAACTGAAAATTCAGCTTTGCCATCACTGGAATAAATTACATTTAAACATATATTAAAAAAGAACATAGTTACTTCAAATCAAAATAATATTTCACAATATTTCTGTTTGATTTTCAATCAAATAAATGTAGCATTAGTGAGCATAAGATACTTATTTAAAAAAAAAAACATCTGAAAAAACTTTTGATCAGTAGCATATGCCATACAGGACTAGTTAGAAGGGTTATATCAAATGTTTTTAGAATTATTTTTTCCCCTTAAAATTAGGGAAACATTTTTATTATTAATAGTTTAATATTAGATTTGTAATATATTATTTTAAAAAATTCTTATTAAATTGTTTCCTCTTTAAAAGTATTGTAACCTCAAAAAAAATGCATAATTTGTTTTCTCATCATATAATCAATCTCTCTGACACATATAATCAAACGGCTCCACTGAACATGCTCTCTTAGCATGTAAAAAGAGATGCAGATCCAAAAAAAGTGTCATTAATGCATAAATGTTATTGATCGTGTGCATATGCTCAGATCCAAAAGTTGCAGAAAAATTAGCAATTTTCACAGCATAGTTTTAATAAATGGTCTTATTTCACTTTAGAAGTTTTGACTGAAAGTCACAGTGTTTCTAGCACAAAAAACTGAAAATATCACAGTGAGCTAATGGGTGTACTATTTATATTACCTGGTAGACCGTTAGGGTCCCTCAGCCAGCCTTTAGCCTGACCCATCTTTGACTCGATCAGTGCTAGTGCTCTCCTCATGGCCTCTGTGTCCTTCAGAGAGAAAGAGTGTTAGTCAGTAATGTCTGTCATATTGGCCCACAGGGCAGGATTTCATTGCATGGATCTGAGTGGTTACAGCTTTTTGTTGCAGTTGCAGTTTATGTGCTCATATGAAGGAGTAGATGCTGAAGGGAGGGGGCTCTGACGGGCAAGAGGAGCCTCTGCCTCTCTCAATCACACACACAAAGTGCGAGAGCGGCCCACATAATCACCACTTCACACTCCATTGCACCACACACACATCTGAAGGAGAACCCGTCTGGTTCGGTAACTCAGCCATGCGTATGGCGCTCCTCTTTACTGCAGTGTAAAGCAATAGTCATCTGCACAGGCAACGCATTCAATGCACACATTATCAGAAAAATGAGCATATCAAGAGCATAACACTGAAAGACAAATGAAGGGCATGGGTGTGAAATTAGGTTCAGTATGAGTATCAAGGTCATGCCTTCAATACTGATGCCTCAAAATATTACAGCTTATTGAGGAGATGTGAGCGATAAGTTTTCTAAGCGATCAGACTAATAATTTTGCTTGGCCGCAATTATTAATACCCTAGCAACACCTGAGCAACCATCTATAACACTTTAGCAACTGCAAACATGATTTTTCGTAGTTGTAAATAAAACAAAGTTGACTGGAGTAGGTTACAAAATACTATTTTTGTTTTTCTATTTCTGAATTTCATTTTAGTTCAATCTGTTACTTGCAGGGTTATTATAGTTAACTAAAACTAAAACTGAAACTAAAATTAAAACCATAACCATAATGTCATGTTTACAAAAAAATTAATAATAATAATAATATAAAAGAATGAAAACCATAGCCAAAATGTTACTTGAAACCAGTGGCGGCTCGTGGGTTTTAAAATAGAGGAGGCACACTAATTGTATTGGTCTGGGATCCCTGCCGATTATTATTATTATTATTTGCTTAACCACTTTAAAATGGCTTTTTGGTTGCTTTTAGTCAGAAAACGTAAAGAAACCGACATACATACAGCAAGATAATATTAACTAAAATAATATATATATATATATATATATTAAGAAACTTTATTTCAGCTATTTACCAAGGCATCATTTATGATTTTAATTTAGTTTAACTTAACGTACTAAAATAACTGAAAAATAACTTAAAATAAAAATGAATAAAAACTATACAGACATATAAACTACTAAAAATAACAAAAACACACAACAAAGTAACTAAAACGTCAAAATAAAAATGAAAACATAAAATATAACAATTAAAACTGGTTTAAAATATTAATAAAAATAATAACAGTATATCTCAATGATACTAAAATAATACTGGTTACCTGCATTTCTTTTTAATTGTTTGTGAAATTTACTAATAATTTCTGAGAGAAGATTTTTCTATTTCCCTTTTTTTGGGCAGTGTACTTCAGCCATATTTGCATCTTTTTATCTTTTGACTTGTGGCAAGGTTTTGAGGCCCCATGTGGGGCCCCAGTCTTACTACTAATATATCAGAAAGACATGGGAGTGGTACAGTATCTCAGAGTGGCAGCACTCAAATGCTGATCTGAAAATGTACAGATCTAGTTTTGCTTTGCTGTCTTTGATTCAGCAAGACAAGACAATAATGGACCTTTAAAAAGACTTACAATTTAGTTTTTTTTTTTTTTTTTGCTTGTGGTATTTCCAGCAGGAGACACTCTGGCAGCTGAAGCAGCAGTCAGATCCAATCAGGAGAGGGAGACGGGCAGGAAATTAACCCCTCACACCTGCGCCTGCTGCCTATTGCACTCCATCTCACCGCTAAAATACTGTATGTTAAAATTTCTCTAAAATATGCAGCTAAATTCATGTCAACCCGCTTTCATAAATCCATATCAAAAAGCTTAAATCTAGTTTGTGGTTATCCTGAAGCAAACCTGAAGCACAAGTATAATCGATGAGTCTTCTCTCGGCTAAAACAAATTATCCGCCCAATCCATTTCCTCTGCCTGCTATCCAGTAACCGCTGCTTTCCAGCCAACCTTTCAGCATCCAGCAAGACAGATCACATTATTTGTAAGTTGATGAGTCATTTCCTATTCGTGTGCATTAGGGCTGGGTTGCATTTGCAAGCCGGGAAAAATGTTTGCAAATGCATTTTTCAGGTTTTTATTGTTCTGTTTACTTCACATATGATTTTAGAAAAACAAAACAAAAAAACATTCAGTGTAGTAAATGGTTTTCCATTTATATACAGTTCAAATGTTTGGGGTCAGTAAGATTTTTCTTTTATACTTTTTACTGTTATTTAGGAAGAATGCATTGAACTGATCAAAAGTGACAGTAAAGACTTTTAAAAGATTACAGATGATTTATATTTCAAATAAATGCTGTTCTTTTAATCTTTCTATTAATAAAAGAATCCTGAAAGATGTTTTGCAGTTTCCACACAAATATTAATCAGCAAAACTGTTTTCAACATTGAAAATAATTAGAAATGTTTCATAAGCACTAAATCAGCATATTAAAATGATTTCTGAAGGATCATGTGACACTGAAGACTGAGTAATGTCTGCTGAAAATTCAGCTCTGCCATCACAGGAATATATTACATTTTAAAATATAGAAAACTCTTATTTTAAATTGTAATAATAATAATCATAATTCGCAATATTACTGTCACAATATTAACTGTATTTTTGATAACAATAAATGTAGCCTTCACGAACAGAAACTACTTATAAAGACTTAAATAAACAACCCCAAACTTTGAACGTTAGTGTATAGAAAAAAAATAACATTATATATTTAAATGTAAAAATGAACCTAATTCTTGCTTTACAATTTGATGTTGCATTAGTTATTCGCATGCTGTTGTATTACAAGCAAAGAGTTCAGAAACAGGTCAGGGCGTCTAAACCTGATCAATATTTCATGATGGGGTCAGACAGCCTGTTTGAACAATTTCTGCTTGAATATGCCTGATCTCACGACAGATATCACATGCACCTGCTGTGGAGAATTGAAATATGAAGGCAGACTGACGACTGACAATGATGGACTTACTCTTCAAGAGTAGGACACTGGAAAGCTTTAACATCATTCAGCATCTGTATCCCTTTGGCTAACAGAGTAAATAATGTAAAGAAAGATTTGGGCCAACTGTACTTAGGTTATTGGCTGACAAAAGCTTTGAAATTGTTATATAGAGAATTTCAAATAAATGCAAAAGTTTATATTACTGAACAAGGAAACAAGTCAAAGTAATTTTCTGATTACAGTTTTAAGTGAAACAATAAATGAATCTGGAAACGTATTGGCTTTTCTTCCATTAATCATTCCCCGCAAATGGACTTTGTGCTGTGTGTATGAAGGAGCTGAAGAGCAATAACTATATCAATCCATCTTTCATGTTGCCAGTCATAAGGCACAAGGGGGCACAGAGTGAGAACTGAGTTTCAATTCAATTTTGTCTAAAGACAAAAGCAAGTGGGTCCAATGCTAAACGTGTGCTACATTCAAAAGATTGAAAATGTGCCAGAACGATTACCAGATTAGCTAACAGGTTATAAATAAATCCTTTCCGTATATATCTCAGATATACGCGTATTTTCTTAAAAAGGAATTTTAAGGACTCACGCAAAAAAAAGTTTTGTGGCTTTGAGCTCTAATGTTATGCTATACTCCTAAACACTAGGTTAATTCTTAGTACATGCAAATGAGTACATTTCAAATTCTTGCCAAGGAGAATAAACTAAAATATTTATTATTTATTTTGCCCTAAGAGTCGTATTTAAAAATTTAGCCCATTAAAATTAATTTTTAGTCCATAAAAATGGGCCATTGTATGATGAAGAGGCAAATGCCTTGAACATAAATAATTTTTTTTTCTATTTTGTCACCTTTTTTTTCCTTGTTATTTTTTGTCATTGAATATACTCATTGAGATTTTTTGCCTGCAGCATGTGCATAATTATTGTCACAAAATTTGTAAAATATTTTACTTTAACTTGAAAATCACATTCCTCCATACTAGCAGTAGCCAGTGCCTCATGACTAAACCACCTGTTACTGCTAAACTAAAAGGTAAAATAAAGATTATTGGCTATTTTAATAAAAAGGGAGGAGCTTTCCAATATATCCCACCCTAATTTCCTCTTTCAACAGGAAATACGTGAACACGAAAGCAAAATACACTCGTCAAGCAATTTCACTGCATGGGTTACAAAAACCGGGAGGAGCTGTGTATCAGGAGAGACAGAGCATAAAATCAAGTTAATCTGGTAAGACAGCATTCAGCTAAAGGAAATGGGTAAAGCGGGAGCCATGGAGACAGACACCAAGCGTAAAAAAGTCACATCCTGAGACAGACATTAGTGATTAACTGTGAGACGGAGTGTCTAAATGAGGGATGATGTGAGACTGGAGTAAATATGGATGAGGAGGGTGAGTGATGGCACAGAATCATTCTACAGCACATCCGAAAACAACCTTTCTAATTGCAATTTATTGTTTTGCTTTGGTCCTGGGTTTCTGAAATGCAGCACCCCTTATATACAGCATATAAAATGGCAAGCCAGGCTAAGAAAAAAAGTCTTCTATCAAAACAAGAATGAATATACTAACAACACACATACTGTTAGCAACACAATGATCTGGCATGCAGTTTGTTGCATTACAGAGCGGGAGCGAGGAGAGCTTACCTTCTATAGGAAGGGAAAAAATGGAAGAACACAGAAAAGAAAGAGGCATGTTTACAGAGTTATATCAGGGCAAACAGAAAAACAGAGGTGACAGCAAAGTAAATGAAAGCTCAGGAAACTGATTTTGAGAGTAGAGTGATTTTTTATGGAAATATTTAATATGCATGCTAAGCAAGCGAAGGGTGTCATCAGTCAGCGAGGGATCAAATGATTCAGTAGGCTTCATAAAATATTGAAAGGCAGATCATTAATCTTCCGGTTAAACACTGATGTCATGTGTACGGTATATGGTGATGTTTTCCACCTTTGCTGGTTACTAGGCCAGTGTTTTTGTGTCATAGTCAGTGAATTCTGATCCTGACTGTGAACAGTGCTGGAAATGGAACAGATTATTACATTAGCAGGATGGGAGTGTCACATTCATTCAGGGAGAAAAACAAAGATACACCAAGTGGTCTCAACAGAGCAGTGACTGTTTTGAAGTGGCCATGTATTATTTATATTCATTTTCTATATACATTTTAAAACAATATTCTTAACAATACATTCTTCAATAAAGAGTTTAAAGCTTAAACTAAAACAACCAGCTTTAAGATAAATCACAAGATTACAACAGTTTTAAGTGAAAGACTGTGCTACAGCCAATAAATTCGATATATTCATATATACTACTATTCAAAAGTTTGTGGTCAGTAAGATTTGTTTTAAAGAAATTAATAAGTTTATTCAGCAAGAACATATTAAATTGATCAAAAGTGACAGTAAAGACTTTTAAATTGTTACAAAAAAATCTATTTCTCATAAACTGTGGTCCTTTTTAACTGTACATTCATCCTGAATAGAATTCAGAAATAAATGTATCAAGGTTTCCACAAAAATATTGAGCACTGTTTCTGTTTTCAACATATAATAATAAGAAATGTTTCTTGTGCAACAAATCAGCATAATAGTTTTCTGAAGGATCTGAAAATATATTACAGTAAAAAAGAAAGTATCAGAGACTTCTTTTCAAAACACTGAAAAAATCGTATCGCACCCAAACTTTTGAACAGTAGCGTATGTCCAAGTGGACCATCTCCACACTTTATCATTGATTATAAGTATAAAACAGCATCTAATCTTTTTTTTTTTTTTTTTTTTGCTTTGCTTTGTTTTGCAGAATATTCAAATATATCGTTGTTGTTTTTTTATTATTAAAGGGGTCCTATTATGCTCTTTTACAAAGTCTTGATTTTGTTTTGGGGGTGTACTAGAACAGGCTCTCATACTAGGTTGTTCGAAAAACACATTATTTGTCACATATTTTACATTATTACAACACCTCTCTCCCCAGTCTGGCATGAACGGCTCGAATAGTTCCTGTATCAAATGAAGGCCCGCCTTCTGTAATAGTGTGCTGTAATAGTTAAGTCTTCAGTGTGTTGTGATTGGCAGCACTCGGCGCCTGGTCGGGAAATGTCATGCCCCTTACCATAGCCGCCTGCGAGCGTCAGTGTAAATATTGCGTCAAAATCAAATCACTCTAAGTTCGTCTGAAACCCGGAGGATTGTAACCACTCTAAGTTCGTCTGCCTTGGGAAAGCTAGCGTGCCTCCGACATAGTGATAACACTCGTTGCCTTCTCTAGTGCAGCTCAACCAGGTCTCGTCCCATTCGTCGATATTTGTGATATCACAAATCCCGGGAAAATTTGCGTTGTAGTCCAAACGAGTCGTTCGTTGTAGTTTTTGAAAAGTTAAATAAAATATCTCCTTTTGAATTGGACTTTGAGCTTAGTAACTTTGCAGATCATTTTTATGCTCAAACAGCAACATTACAGACTAACTAAAGTTGAAAAAGTGAAAAAGCATAATAGGACCCCTTTAAAAATCACACAGAAAGCTTGACACATTACCCTTAGACGTCTTTTTTTTATGGAGACAATGAATGGTATTTTTACTTCTCTCTACCGCTCCCACTGTCATGTTCACAGTTTATAAACATAGTTAATTGAAAATTGTTCACTTAACTTGCTTGACCCATTGAAGCCAACGTAACTTAGTGTAACTGTTTAAGGTGGAGTTGTAGAAAGGAGTGTATGTGTGTTTAAGCATGATAAAGCTCATACTTTGTTGGCCCAGGCATCCTCGTCCCATGAAGTGAGTTGCAGCACTCTGATTATCTCGTTGATCTCAGCGCTCATCTTCTCAAACGTGTAGTTTCTGTTCTTCAAGGCCTCCTCCACACCATGACTCTTGGTGCACTTGGTTGTCACAAAGATTTTAATGGCTGATGGGTATCAAAAAACAATTTTGTTAGTCCTCCATTTCACAGGCCATCTACAACTGCTGTACAAATCAAGATCAGAGTGCGGTTTATATTTGATGTGTCCAAAAATCAGGCAACTAATTATCACCATATGAGTAGACATATTTGCAAACACCAACATTAAAAGCCTTTCTGCGTGTGCAGATGAGCTGCCATCAACCTGGCTATTTATTGCTGAGCCAACAGCAGAAAGCCAACTGGATGAAGGAAAAAATCTATCCCTCCCCGCAAGACGGTTAAATGGCTCCAATTATCAGTGTTGCCATATCAACGGGCTGGCACACAGAGACCGCAAGCTGCACAAACGAACACACAGCACTTTGCTGGCCTCTTACCTGATATAAGCACGGGCAGCAGTTCCTTCACTGTGTTCATAGAGGTGACCAGCATCACACGGTGCTCCTGGTGTGTTAGCTCCTGTTGCCGCTCGTCAATCATCTTTGCCATTTTTGTCATGCCTAACAAATTCATACATCAATAGAGTGACGATGTAGAGGTCAAAAATGGATGTTCCTTTTGAGATTTGCTAAAGATTACATTTAACAGTGTAATTATATTAGATTTTTAAAGATTAACTTAAAGTAAGAATGATGACAACAAGGGTAATCTAAATAAAATAAAATAAAAAGTGGATACATGTGTATCCAACATTAAAATCTAAAAATATACACTACCATTTAAAAGTTTGAGGTTGGTAAGATTTTTATGTCTTTGAAAAAAGTTTATGCTCACCAAGGCTGCATTTATTTGATAAAAATAAAATCATATTGTGAAATATTATTTCAACTTAAAATAACTGTTTTACATTTTAATATAAATGGAAGAAATTCCAACAATAAAGTGTAATTGAACTGAAGATATAACAAATAATCAGTTTTTCATGGTCATACATCATTCAAAGAGTGTAACCTTTAAATAACAAAAAAAGTAACAAAAGCATCTGAAAATAATAATTCAACCATAATAATGAATTCCATTCATGCAAACAGTCACTTGCATGAGCCATATGTCAACAGCGTCAACTTTAAATTCAAAAATCAGAAATAAATGAAACCTCTTCAAAAGGAAGTAACAGGATATATAAAGTACCTGGTCCCAGATTTTTAGTGTAAGTGATCAAATCCTCCATGGTTTCCACAACCTCAGCAACGGTCAGGTACTCCAGAATGCCTTTACACACTCGGATAATTTTACGCACCTTAGAAAGACACAAAATACAAATGATACAAAAGAAAAAGACACATTTAGACACATTGACATTTATGCATTTTGGCATAAATGCTTTTATCCAAAGCAACTTACAGTGCACTCAATCTACACATTTTATCAGTGCAAATATTTCCTGGGAATCAAACCCATGACCTTTACGTTGCCAGCGCCATGCTCTACCGTTCAAGCAAGGATCCTTTCAGGGATCCCATAGGACTAATGTTTTATTCTGCAGGTCTCTACCACAAACAGGCAGACCCACAAGATATAGTACCATAACATCATGCTTACTCAGTGCCCTGTGAACAACACAGCTCCTTGAGAAAGATGATAGCAGCACTATTAATAGAGCTCAGAGTTAGCTTTCACCACAAACCAATGATCTAATATCTCGCCAGTATGTACATACACACCACAATATGTGCTCTCTTGGAAATGTTTCTATTATACATGTTAGAATAGGGTTTTTTGGTTATTATATAATAGTAGCCTACAGCAGTCGTTGGCACTAAATCTGCATATGTTCTCACTGGTTTTAGGGAGCATTTTTGGTTTTGAATAAATATTTTAAGCCCATTTACACTGTGCTGCTGGGTTCGTATCTTGTCTTGTGATGAGAAATCTTGTGACCCGAAGAAGCAGAAACTTCAAAAGTAACCCGCGCTGATAGAAGACACGCTGTGTGCAAGGCGGCTCACTCAGATCATGTGCTCCGTGTGAACTCCATTATGCTGCGCCCACACGGCAGCACACAGGGGAGGCTGGATATGTGGAGCACGGCACATTAAGACCGCAAGTTACAATGCATGATAAGGGACTGTGTGTTTAATGTTGTTAGGTCAGAAGAAAAGCCTTTTTTGTAAAGATGATCCAAAGAATTTAAATTCAGGATTTGCCCTGAGCTGATTATTATTCGTCAGAAAGACAAATATTTTACAAATCAAATTTGCTTTATTTCAAGTGCAGATTTAGAAAAACTATATGTGCATTTCACACAGGATCTTTCACGTATCTAATGAGGTTAAACAAGAAAGAATGCATGCAACATTCCCATCCAACTGTCAAATAATCAACGGTACATAAATCACTCTTCACAAGGAAATTGCTTCGTTAAGATAACAATCTTGCTTTCAGTCAAAACCCTCTTTGGAAATTCAATATGACATTTCCCAGAGAAAAATGTGCGATATCTGATCTCATCAATGTACACCAAAAAAAAAAAAAAAAATGTTAGGTTTGTCAGTTTCTGTCACAATTCACTGGGAGGAACAAGGAGACGCGGAGAATTCACAATACAAGAGTCTTTAATCAACAAATAGGGAGACAGAGCACAGGGATGATGTTCACAAGGAGTAGATAACGAGTAGACCTGACAAACACAAACTGAACAGACTAGGACTTAAGTACACAGGGAAATGAGGATAATTAACTAAACACAGCTGGAAACAAATGATGAACTAATCAGGGAACCTAATGGAAACAGGAAGGACCAAATAAGGAAACACAGGACCAAAAACAGGGGCAAAATACGACACAGAACAGTCCAGAGGGAGGGAGGAGCCAGGGAGGAGACAGGAGGGGCTTGGAGCAGGAGGAGCCCAGCTGGACCCAGGCCACAGCCATAATGTCGACCCACGGTGGAGCCGACGGAGGGAGGAGCCATGGAGGAGGAATGGCCGCCGACTCCAGGGGGCCGACCAATGGCGGCGGAGCAGGTAGCGGAGGAGCCCGAGGCAGAGACGGAGAGCCAACGAGCCAGGGGGATGCCGAGGATCCGGGGGGCCAGGATGGAGCTGAGGGCTCTGGCGACCGAGTTGGAGGTGGAGATCCGGAGATCCGCGGCGGAGCCGGAGCGACTGAGGACCAAGGTGGAGCTGGCGGGAGGAAGGAGCCCAA